ACATACATGACATATGTAACACTATGTATTCACATATTCCATCATTCTCATTGTTTAGTTATCATTATTTTCTTTCAACTTTGTGTTATTTGATAGAGAAATTTTTAACTGGGGAAAACTTTTTTAGCAGATGTAATCATTTTTTTAGAATTTTGATACACATTTATAGATACTTTAGTAATAACGACTTTATTTTTTTAGGAAAAAGTCATTAACTTTTGCATTTTATATTTACACTTCTAAAAATCAGCTGACCTCATCTATATTTGATTTTCCAAATAACATTTTGCCTGTTAACCCTTTTCAAGAATTTGATTTTTAAAAGAGAGCTTCATCTCCATAATCTCAATAGGAACCCATCCATTGATCTAGCTTTATCCAATCAGATTGGATGAATCGAAATATAGCTACCCAATCAGAATTGTGATTACTGCAATTTTATCGCACTCATTTACAGTTGTCTTCAAGAGCAGACATTAGTGCCAAGATATGATTAGGTTTTGGGCATGCTGGGTAAATTATTTGGTGGAGATCTTGAATTTGTGTGATATTTATTATTACTGTGTGCCTTTTTTGCCATCATAAGTAGCTGTCATTTAATTTGTATTCAAACTCCTATGAAGGGCACGCACAGCTACTTTGGGTTGTGTAGATCAGCACCAAACTGAAATTGTCCCTCTTAGTTAGAGGGTAGCAATTACAACCAGACTCTACACCTCAGGGTACATGAACTGAGGACGTGAATCTATATATGAGGAAATCTGAAGCGGATGTACTTGTACTTTCTATGAATTTATAATGTTTTGTCAACATGATCAAGCTGATATTTATTCCAGTTAAGTACATATTTATTTGGATTTCATGGGAAAATATTTCCAGTCGAGGTCAAGTTGTCTTGAATATTTTGCAATTTTTTGCAAGGTTGAATCTATGAAATCCTGAGAGTTTTTTTAGCCTGTACAGGTATAAAGGTAGAAATAATGAATGAATTTTAGGATTTGAATAATTTGATATGATAAGGAATGATGATCTCAAAGGGATTCTTATTTTTTGACAAATGTAGTTCTATAGTTCAAGAGTCAGTCTCTAGTCAATGTTACCTTTGATGAAAATGACTTTTTCATGAAATCCTTACCCTTTGCATTTGCTCGACTTCACTTCTTAAAAGAGAGCTTCGTCTTCTTTCTTTCAGTTTGCAATAACTGTCTGATCTCACCGAGCCAGTCAGAGTTTCGTTGTCGAAAACAGACGACTTTCTTGGTCATTTTCTCTGATATCATCATAGAGTTAATGAGCTCGCATTTAGTGTTCCTTCCAGTTCGTTGATTGGTTGAGAAAAGGTGAGTGTTGAAGGTTTGAAATGATTTATGACCCTGGCTGTCACAGGCACCGGTCGTCAGGGGGGGGGGGGGTCCTAAACTGTAATATAGTCTATTCTTAAAGTAGAGGGTAGTTTATAACTAGACTCTGTGCACAGGGTATGAAATCCTAGATATGGTGACCAAAATGATGTGCTGTTTTAAAAAATATTGTTCAAAGGTATATCAACAGAAGTTAGCTTATGCGACATGATTTTTTACAAAATGGCCTAGAGGCTTAAAAGTCACACTGTTGGAGATTTAAATTTTGCATTGATTAATCTTCTTGTATCTTGACTTTATTTATCTAACTTATGGCCCGTGGGTGATAACTGAAATAATAAACTTTGATTGATCACATTAGTCAGCGCATCTCATATTTCATTCTCAATAAGGATTACTTAGGTACAGAATTTCAAATGCCAGACAGAAAGTTTCCAGGGTTTTCTTTTACCTTTAACTGTCTCAGCAATTAATTTGAGTTGTCTGGGTCTGCCATTTTAAAGCCTCTCAACTGGCATTAAAAAACAATAAGTAACATAATATAATTTAGGCTGGGTTCATTAAGTGTAAGTTTAAGAATGACATGTAGGTAAGACCCTTTAAAAAAGTCTAAATGAATAAAAAAGACATATATAATATTAATATACAATATACAGTACTCATAACATGTTCATTTAATTTATTAAAGCCTAAAAATATAATTTGGATTTCAAGAGATTTAAAGGAGAACTTGAGACTGAAGCATAGGTACCAATAAAAAATAAATAAATAAATAAAAAAAATAAATAAACAAATAAATAAATAGAAATATGTATAAAGCGTATGTTTCCTTGACATTTACATTAGATATATGTGGGTTAATGTTCATTATATTATTGTGGATAGAATTGATTTTTAGAAATACCATGTTTATTTTACGTAAGCACCTTTAAATTGTGATTAAAAACAGACATTGTTCGTATTGAATGACTAAATAATGAAACGGCAGAACATAATTATAGTGCCATTTTGTCAATATCTTGTTATTATATCCTTTGAAGATTTGCTAGAGCCTCTTTTTGTAGAGGAGAAATGGCAAGAGAAAATCTAAGATATTCTGAAATATTTTTGTGTTTTGTGTTTGCAAAACGGAAATCCGATAAACATCTGATTATTCAGTATTTTTATTGGTGTAAATGGATATTTCCTTAACAACCATAACATATCTTTGATGGCTTTTGTGGCATATAATCAATCAGAGCAAATCTCTTCAGAGAATATTTCATGTCATTTTCCTGTGTGGTATTTCTTTCTTTTGTTTTTCCCTGTACCCTTTTGTCTCAGATTACCTAATACTAATGGATGTGTACATCGGTAGGAAGGCAAATTATAACATCATCAGTTTTCATTCTTTGATAGTGTAGCAATTTAAGATTTACAGATTTTTGTGATCGTGACACATATGTACAGTAAGTCAGTAACTGATAGGGGTATGTATATTTTGATTGATTGCTTTTTTATTGATATAGAAATCGGTATGGTAACTGGAATACAGAAATTGTTATCTTCGTTAAACCAAGTTTAATCACATTTGGATTACTTACATCTTTGATTACCATGGTATAAAGTTTTCATATGATCATCGTAATTGATTGAAAATCAAACTGGTAAACGAGTATGGAATACTTGAGAGACGGATACATCTATTACATCTATCACATGTTTGACGTTATGATACCTGAGTGACAAATATATCACTTTTCTGATTAAAACAAATCATGTTCAAAATGAGTGGATAACGAATCGCCTCATAGAGCCGTGTCATGTTTTGTTATTTGTTTATGTCAGCACAGAATATTAAAGAGATTTTCGAGAATAAATGATGACAGTGCTGTTATTCCTTGAATTATTAATGAAGTTGTTAGACTTTAAAAAATAGATGTGACAAGGGATGATTTAGATCCTTTAAGTTAATATTATCTTTGTTGAATGATACAGTGTTTCACTATCCACTTTTTTTCGGATCAAGATGGAGTTTTGCCCAGTTGGTTTCTTAAAGAAAGCAAGCACAAAACATTTTAGCTAAATCCTTTGAAATTTAAACCTCCCCCTACCACATGTTCTCATGCCAATTCACTACCGTGTTCATAGATGTCTAAAAATTGCAGAAAGTGTCATTTTCATCATGTCGATTGATTACAAAATTACTTTTGAAATAAATACAATTTAACAAAAATACAATACACAATAAATAGTTGAATATTTCATCATAAATATATAATTATTTATTTGGATGTACATGTACAGGATACACAAATTATCTCATACACCATAAAGCACTCTTTCCTAACAATCTTATAACTGTGATGAAAAATATAATCTCTGGATCAGTAATCTCTGTGCTTTATATATATTTTTGTACAATGTTATATATATATTTCTTATATTTGCTATAGCTTTTAAAAAACTTAACAGGCGTTTTAGGACAGTTTCTCTCAACAGGCATAAGAAGTGCAAGCAATAGGCAAAATCTATATTGGAAATTTTAATTTTAGCAAAGAAACAGTTGTTATATAAAACAGAGGAATTTGTTAAAAAAACAACCACAGAAAGTTTGCCGCTGCCTGCTTCTTTGATAACACCCCCGATTATAGGATTAACTAGAAAAATGCACAATTGTGAAATACAGTAAAGGTGATACAGAATACCTGTACAGTAAAACCTGTAAAGTGAAACATTTCTGAAAGTTATATAAAATGTACATATGTAAGTGGAACACCTAAGTGGAACCAAAAGTATTTCACTTACACAGGTTCTACTGTACATGCTCTGCAATAACATACTCATATGCTCATCACAGTGTAAAAAATGGTTATGGTAAACTATTGAACTCACTGAAAAAATTAAGTATTTGTGCTTGAAAAGTATAATCATATCGTGAAACTCTTCAAATGCACGAACTTGTTTATCACGATTCAACACTAGTTATCTGTTTATATCAAAAATCAATAGGTTTGTTTATCATTTGAATTTATCAACTATTTATATCATTGTTTTGTCAATAAAATTATTAAATAGTGTTTAGTCAGAAAATTGCTGAGTCAATACAAAGGCAGTCTAGTCTCATATGAATCATAGTTTAAGAATCAATTTATGTTTAACGTTTAAATTCATTTTCATTATGTCACCACCAGATTTGTTGAGATATTTTTATAATCTCCGACCTTTTGTGTCTGTGGTTGGTGTTTGGTGGTAGGGGTTTGGCATCTAAAAAATGGCAGGTGGTGACATTTTGCATGTTACTGACTTGTTTAACATTGACATCATTGCACATTGTGTTCAATTGTATCAAATTGCCGTATAAGCACCTTTATACGTATAATGTTCAATGAATGTTGTGTCTATACAAACACATAATTTCAATTTCCATATATATAAATTATGCCTATAGGATTTTTACAATCAGAAGTACATAGCATTCATTATAACATTGTGTATTCTTTATTATAACCAATATAGATGCTTAGTAGGCCAATACTGGCCAGCCCTAAGCAGTCCAAGATATGAAGAATTTTTAGATAATTTGAAGTAATTTTCTGTATTTTATGTAATAAATAAATAAATAGATAAATATATGAATGTCTACACTTCGAGATATGCTGTATTTCTATATACATGATATACAGATTGGCCCTTGTTAACAAAAAATGGTCAGAATAAGGCAATTATTTATCGATAATAGTGTCTCAGTGTCATTGTTGCTTTTCAAAATGAAATCAAAAGATCAATATCAATTTGATTTAAAAATAATATGCTTGATTTTTCTGTGCCAGGGGCCATGTTTAAATTTGTTCAATCAGATCTTACTGAGTCTCTAGGATGCCCTTGTTTGTTCCGTCATCATCTTAGTTTGCACGGAGATGCGTCGCACATCTCCAACTTTATTCCGTTTCCAGAAACATAAAATTTTCCTAAAATTCTCTCTAAATCGGGAGCTCATCAGGGCATAAAGAAAAGGATTTAAGGATGAATTTAACCAAAGCAAAAAGTTTGACGCTTCGTAAATATCCTCATTAACGCAAGAATCGCAGATTGCTTTAATAATTGTCATCAAAGTATACGGTGACCAACAGACAAAGTACACAACAACTAGAATCGCAAGAGATTTTGCAGCTTTGCGATCACGTGACAGTTTCCTCTGTATCTGCTCATCCGGTTTAGATTGATCGACCTTCCCCGATATAACGGCCAGATTAGACTGTTTTGAAATCATGTTTTTTGTGCGTTCATGAATACTAAGATACACACGAATGTTAAAGAATGACACGAGAATGACAGGAACTCCAAACTCTATAATTGCAGTAATCAATGTCACGGTTGAATCATATACAAATTCAGTATCACAATCCATATCCTCCACGACGGATGGTTGACCGAAGTTGTAAAACACTAGCCAAGGAGTATAGAGAATGAACGCCAGAAACCATGAGATGCCAATCAGGACTTTAGCTTTGATGGGTGTTTGTTTAACGTTATATTGGGCCCCTTGTGATACTAACAAAAAGCGGTCGTAACTGATAAGAATGATCATAAGGGATGATTCTGCACATATCGTATAGTCCACCACCAGCCAAAAGGTGCAAAAGGGTCGTCCAAATGTCCATGTGTAGTATTCTATCGTATAATGCACATAAAATGGTAGGCTGACAATACCGACCAAACAGTCAGCAACAGCTAAATTGAATATATAATAGTTCTGCACAATTCTCAGTTGTTTATCTCTCCAAAAAGCAGCAATTGTTAATAAATTTCCACAGACGTCAACTACGATCATTGTACCAAGGAGAATTCCCATGACTGCTTTGAGTCCGTCAGAGAAACCTTCATCATCTTCTTCTTCGATGACTGTTGAGTTAAGCCCATAACTAGTCATAGTTGTAGCCATTTTGAACAGATTTCTATCACCTCAGGAGTTATCCGTGTTCAATTATTTTTTTATTTACAAGTTTCAGGTTAAAACTACAATGTGTGTGTTTTTATGTTTTTTCTCTGTATGTTTGTTTATAAATTGCGCTTCACTAGATTAATCCCTATTTGTTCTTTGCTTTAGTCTATTCAGTCTATGTTTGAAATATCATCTAGATTAGTGTCCGCAGTTTCTTAATTGTCAACTTCTGTGCATTGCTCATGCTGCAATATTTCAAGTCCTTTGATGCTGAGCCCTCAAACAAATGAAATCTCCGATATTATTACCGTCCTTATAAGCCATCCTTTTCCTGAAATATAGAACATAAGTTTTAATTAAAATAATCTATGAGTAAATAAGATCCTTTATACAGTTATAAGAATAATACATTCAATTCATAGTGTGAAAAACATCTTCAGTTTCAGTAAATTAATTTATTTTGTAGCCTTATTTTTCTGTGTTTTTTTCGTTTCGATCGCCAAATATACAAATACCAACCTACGTCATGGACGCAAATGAACAATTATCCAATTCATTGAAGAATGCTTTGAATCCTCTCGTATTAATCCTCACGCTTAGAAATTATTCAATATGTGTATTCACTTAATTACCTTAATTAATAATTTGTAGATTCTGAAGATGTATAATGTCCCACTTACAAAATTTTCCCCTTGTGATCCTGTCATATTCTATGGCAAATAATCATTATTACCGATAGTTTTTATAACATAAAAGATATGAGCCTGTATTTTTATTGGTTGCTATGTCGATGTAGAACAGAATGATTTCAATGACATTCACGCTTATTCGGAATGTTCAACAGTAGAAGTGATAGAATGCAAATTGTCTTTCGGCACAATTCTTCGATACAATTTCAGCTAATTTGATAAATGATAAAATGTTAGTGATTAATCAAAAGGATGTTCGGGATAGTGCTTTTCTTATTTTTAGTATTAACAATAATAATATCTAATATCCTAAGGTATTTTAAGAATGATAGCAGGATATGTTTTTGAAGGAAAAGTAATTTGCGGTTTTTCACGACAATATAAATTCTATCCAAATATTTTATCATGATTAACTAATAAGTGTCTCGGTCTCGGGGAAACTAATTACTTTTTTTTAATTTTCAAAACAATCTTTAGATAATGTGTCAGTTCGAGAGAAAAAATATAATACTGCATGGTGGATCACCTCTAAAAGGGCTAACCATTACAGCGTATTCTAATTAGTGTCCCGTTTTATTTGCTAAATCATCTGTATGCTAGTAATATTTTGTAATTCATCTGAAGTAAATGAGACGTGATGCCCTTCTATGTATCATTAAATAAGAAAATTATGACATGAAGTTATTTGCACAGGTTCTATGTACACATCCAGATGAGAGTAATTTACTTACAAAATGACATCACCTATTCTAAATTTACCTTCAAGTATGAAGCCTAATGGAATAAAACTGTATGACAATATGAAAGACATGCTCTCTCTTTTAAGTGATATAATTAAACGTGAAATAAAATGTATATTTGTCCGGGATATTTGCATATCAATTATCAGTGCAAATCTGAGATGGTAGTACTATGGTTATTCTTGGTCCAACAGTATTTCACTTCTTTCCTTTCCTTTTCTTTTTTTCTTTTCTTGAATTGAGGGAATTTAAAGTGAAGCCCTTTGAATGAAGGGTATACAACTGGTAAATCAAGACTCAGAATTCTATCATATCCAAGATTTATGTAATCATTTTATCCATAAAATACAATGCCACTAACTAAACTTTATCAATAAGAATAATAATATTATAATTATCTTAAAATTAACTTGAGCCCCAAATGCGAAAAGAACTAACAAAGAAATATCACAATAATCGCCTATCACTGGCGGATTAGGGCCCAGGAGCCTGACCCCCCCCCAAAAAAAACAAACATTTGGGCCCAAAAATTAATGGACCTTTTGGGCATTACTGGGGCTTTCTGGACCTTATTTTTAATTTTAGGCCAAATTTTCAATTTTAGGCCAAATATTTAGTCATATTTGAAATTTGGCCCCCCTTGTTAGTTTCCAAATCCACCTTGACCTCACCAATAAGATCAAAAAGTTTTCTATCTTTGAGTAAAAGTCTTGATTATGAAACTAATCAATCTAAGAATCACAGTATAAGCCTCCCAGTATAGACTCAACCTTAAGGTGTTTTTTATTAAGGTGTTATAGCACTATATATTAATTTGTTGTTTTATTTTGACTTTGGGCAATGCTAGACACCAGAGAGAGAGAGTTGAGACAATATCCAGGGTCAATGTTATCTTCTGCTTTCAACCAATTATTAACAATTTGTCTTAAATGTTCAGTTGTTCTTTTTATATATTATATTAAAAGACATATTATTTTTGTAATTTTTTTGTTGCATTGCTTTAATAGCCTTCAAAGATAAATGTGGGGGATAGTGAACTGTAGGCCCCATTTGTTTATTTATTTTTTAATTGATGTCATCCAAAAGTTTCCTCTTTCCGCTGAAGAGGCCTGTGTTAGGAGGACGAGGATGTGTAGTAATCATGTTTCACTTAAAAATGAAATATCAGATACATTCTGATACTCAAAGCATCTCCCTCTGTTGCATCGCAGATCCAGAAGGATAGAGATGGAGAGGGCGTGGCTTACCACGATGTATCAGATATAGAATCTGTACTTCAAGGCCATAAAATTGATATTTTTTGAAAGGGTTCCTTCCAATGCCATATGAGAAAGTTAATTATGACCGCTTCATCTAATCTTCAATAAGACTAGTTACCCAATAGGTTTAAACTTGTCAAACGTGACAAATAGATCATTAATTTTGTCTTTGAGAAGAAAGACTGATGGTGCCAGTAATATTATATAATCAGCTGAGAAATTAATATCAAATTGTTAAGAAGAGATTAATTTTGTTTGAACGATCTATGCGCAGCTCATTATTTTGATATAAGGTGATCATTATCATGAAATATGATTATACTCTCGCCTAAAACCTTATATTTGTTTGGATTATTTCACAAAATATCTCTCTTATATTCAAATAAACTGCCTCATTTTTGGGGATTTCTTTACAATTTAGAATATTTATTTCATGTTTGTTAACTTCATTTATTTCTAAATACTCTCCTTTGAACCATTTTCTTCATTTTAAAAAATGACCTTCCTAAAATTTTATGACACATTTAATACATCAACGAAGCAGAAAATGATGTAAAAGAGAAAGTGAGCATGCAACTTAAGCCCATAGATGTTCAATGAGGGATGCATTCAATTAATAAGGGAAGAATATTGTTTCTTAGTTGCAAAGAATTCTGTTGTAGTGGTCCCCATCCTTGGTCCAAGGGTGTTTCAATGCTTTAGTAATGAAGTCCAATATTGATGGATGAATGGGGCCATGTAATCCTGGGTTGTTAGATCTAGATCCATACATCATCCTTGGTCCAAGGATATTTCATTTCATTCCACCCCCGTGCTGAATTGAAAAATAAATGAAGTCCTTTGAATGATGGATGTCCATACATGGGTTATCACCTCTTGTCAAGATGCATGTATTCAACAAAACGTAAGCACCAAGACGGCCAGGGGAGATAACGCATTTACTTAATTCCTTGCTCACCTTGTATTGTCTTGAGATCAATGACATTCCTTTTTTTATCCCAAGTTCAATGCTGATAAATGTTTAATGATTTTCCAACGTCCTGCAAGTTTGTTTAGTTTAAATCAAAAGGTGAAATGTTTTCATAGGGGATGTTTTTGTCATTTGGGATTTTATATATTACCCTATCACACACATGAACTAATTGAACAAGGCTTTGAGTGGAAACAAAGTAAGATTGATGAGAAGCATCAATTCAGAATGGATTACCCGATTATAAATTATGAACATGGTCACGCCATTTTTCACAAATTTTCTTCTTAAAATTTCAATAAACTGACTGACTGCATTTTATGTATCTTAGATTGTAAACTGTATCTCAGGCTTAGTTTTTAATCCTTGCTTGTTCATGTTTTTCCATTCTTTTTCTTTATTCCATAACATGACTTTCATGACATTTTTTACATTGGGCATGTGATTTTTGCCAATATTTTAATATACATGTATAGATGAAACAGTGAAGAATAATAGAGATAAATGTGAAATTGAAACTCCAAATAAATAAACATGTATATTTATTGTAAAAATATCTGTGGAATTGATTGAGGAATGCATGAAACATTGATGTCTACAAATTAAATGAAATCAACTGGTATCTGAAATCATGTGAAAAAGTCATTAGTTGATTCAGTTAAAGGAGGACGCTAATGCCTCAAAACATCAATTCCCAAAATGAAATACTAAAAGCTGTTTATGTGTTAGTAGATTTAACTCATGATCATATTTAAATTACCCAAATGTGAGAAGGTAGTTACCAGTTTCACCACCAGGTGGCTGATTCGGGTCAATTAACAGGGCAGGTATTATAAGAAAGTTCCCTTAAACTTGAATATTATCAATTTAAGTGGCTCAATTTTCATATAACCCTTATGTATCTAATACTTATACTAATGAAAATATGTCCAGTAAAGCAAAATATTATCTGTCCACTAAAAGAAAAGATATTTCATTTTTTGTGATTTTATAGCATGGGGTCTATGGGGAATCTCCCCGAGCTAGAAGTCACATTTTCAAAGAAAATAATTTTTCAAAGTTGATAAACACTTTTTAAAACCACATTTCTAGATGTAATTTTACATGTAGATTTCAAATATGATATTACTTTGACTGAATTTTGAATTTTTAATGACGTAAATCAAGATTATTTCTACTCGCATCTGGGTTATTGACTCCTGCCATGAATCCCATGATCATATTAAAGACTCTTGTTAGTGTTAAGGTTAAAAAATCTTCGCCAAACTTTGACTGCAAGCCAAAAATTGTTACCCTTTATGGAAATGGTAATGCTGTCCAGCTCAATAGAATATTCTTAGGAATTTTGCCAAACTATCAAGAATTGTGGAATATTGAAGTTACTTTTTAGGGGAAGAGAGTAAACGGCAATTTCAATTGCTAAAGATTGTTTAAAATTAAGGTGAATTAGGCAACTCTTTATTTTCAAATTTGTTATATTGGGGAACTTGAATTGTTTTACAACAACTTTTAACAATTTGAGCACCGACCTTTAAGAAATAATTATAGTACAATTCTAGTAATAATATCGTAATAAAAAATGGGTATTACTAACAATTTCACCACAGGAGAAAATAAACTGTAGGAAATTACAGTAATAACAATGCTAGGAATCTCTGACAGCAATTGTTCTTCTAAAGTTCAAACTACAAGCATAATGATAGAGCCCTTGATTTCTATCTTCGGAAATACATTATGAGTCAAGATGAACTATCAAAGTAAAATAAAAGATATTATTTATTGGATATACATGAATAGCTGAATTATTTGCTATGGTTGGGTAAATTTGCTATTTTAGTAAATGATATGTTTGAAAGAGGGGTTTATCTCAGTATTTCATTTTTTAGTGTAGGAAATCATGAATATGTTGCGATCATATATTATAGTGGGGGGTATCGTAAAAGAGTGTTTATTGGTTTTGCGCATGAGAACTATGATCGAATGCTATTGATCACTGATTTGGGTAAATAATGAAGTGAGTACTCAATTATCGCCCACCTAATTTT